TTTTTTACAATTGAGCAACATTTTAACAAACAAAATGACCGTATTTATGCTCAAAGCTCTAAGGAAGCTTCCTAATTAGTCGAAAGAGTGCAACATGGGCACTATCCGACTTCAGTGATGGTTTGGTGGGGTATTAGCTATGAAGGAGTGACTGAGCCATACTTTTGTGAAAAAGGTATCAAAACATCGGCACAAGTGTATCAAGATACCATTCTTGAGAAGGTAGTGAAGCCCCTTAACAACACCATGTTCAATAATCAAGAATGGTCCTTCCAGCTAGACTCGGCGCCAGGTCATAAAGCTTGGTCTACGCAGTTTTGGTTGGAAACGATCGTTTCGGACTTCATCAGAACTGAAGACTGGCCGTTGTGTAGTCCCGATCTTAATCCGCTGGTTTATGATTTATGGTCAGTTTTAGAGAGTACGGCTTGCTCTAAACGCCATAATAATTTGGATAGTTTGGCCTCAAAGTTTAAAGGACTGTATGGATACCACTGGATACCAATGGAGACCACTTCGAATAAGCTTTTTATACTTTAAATTGTTTTATATTTATGTATTAAACTAACAGACTGTAAAAGTAATAAATGTTATTTGCCATAGATTTTTTTTTGTTTTCCTTTGTAACAGTATTTATGGCCAGACTAAGTATAACTTAGTTCTAATTCCGGATCGACTACAAAAGGTCGAACAAATGAAATTAATTGTTGTTCGGTTTGCTATTTAACCGTGTTTAGTTTTCTAACTACATTTTTTATTATATTTCTATTAGGTAGACCCAATGAGTAAATGTTTTTTCTTTTGCATTTAAAAATGAAACGATGCAAAGCCAACTGTTTTTAAAATAAGATAAAAATCAAAATAAAAGATGAATTCTTTAAAATGAATACGAGTATCCGTCAAAGGGAAAATAAACGAAGTCCTGGAACGTTTCATCTTTCTGGAAAGAATAACTAAATATACATCTAAAACAGGGGACACCAATAAGTTTCGCTCGAGATCTGTTTTAAGAAATAAAATGATAATTGCGGTCCGCACATTTTATAGATTTTTTTTTATTAAACAAACCTAATTACTACAAACCTAATAAAAATTATATTTTTTTACATATCTATGTCGACGAGTGTTTTTATAAACCATTAGTTCATGACTAATAAAAATGGGACGACAAACAACACGTGCAAGCATGTCGGCGCGTGTTTTTATAAACCATTAGTTCATGACTAATAAAGATGGGACGACAAACAACACGTGCAAGCATTCANAGCGTAGTTTGTTACGCGGACGACACCTTGGTCGTGGCCCGGGGTAGGGACTTGCGCGAGTCTGCCCGTCTTTCCTGCGCGGGGGTGGCCTTCGTCGTCGGCAGGATCCGAAGGCTGGGTCTGGAGGTGGCGTTCGATAAATCCCAGGCCCTGTTGTTCCACGGGGCCCGGAGAGCGCCGCCTCAGGGGGCCCACCTCGGAGGCATTCGCGTCGAGATCGAGGCGACCGGGTTGCGGTACCTCGGCCTCGTACTGGATGGTCGTTGGAGCTTCCGTGCTCACTTCGAAAGATTGGGTCCCCGACTGATGGCAGCCGCCGGCTCGCTGAGTCGGCTGTTGCCGAACGTCGGGGGTCCCGACATGGTGGTGCGCCGCCTCTACACTGGGGTGGTGCGGTCAATGGCACTGTACGGGGCTCCCGTATGGTGCCACGCCCTGACCCGTGACAACGTCGCAGCGTTGCGACGTCCGCAGCGCGCGATTGCGGTCAGGGCGGTTCGTGGGTACCGCACCGTCTCGTTCGAGGCGGCGTGCGTGCTCGCCGGGACGCCTCCCTGGGACCTGGAAGCGGAGGCGCTTGCTGCGGATTACGCGTGGCGATGTGATCTCCGCTCCAGGGGGGAACCGCGTCCCGGCGCGGCGGAAGTTCGAGCGCGGAAGCTTCAATCTCGGCGTGCCGTGCTCGAGGCGTGGTCTCGCCGCCTGGCGGACCCCGCCTACGGGCGACGGACCGTCGAGGCGATCCGCCCGGTCCTCTCAGACTGGGTGAATCGCGACCGAGGACGTCTCACCTTCCAAGCGACGCAGGTGCTCACGGGACACGGCTGTTTCGGTCGCTACCTGCACCTCGCCGCCCGGAGTGAGCCGACGCCGAAGTGCCACCATTGCAGTGGCTGCAACGAGGACACGGCGGAGCAGCGCCGCGTCCTCGTTGCAAAAATAGGACCGGACTTGTCGCTTCCGACCGTCGTGGCTGCGATGCTCGGCAGCGATGAGTCCTGGCAGGCGATGCTCGACTTCTGCGAGTCCACCATCTCGCAGAAGGAGGCGGCGGAACGGGAGAGGGAGAACTCTTCCTCCCTCTCGGCGTCGTGCCGCCGCCATCGAGCCGGGGGTCGGAGGAGGGCGTTTGTCCAGCTCCGGCCCCTATGAGGAAGCAGTCTCCTCCCGGTGATGGTCACGGGGCGACCTAAGGGGGTTGAGACTGCGCCGCACGCTACTGTCACTCTAGCGCGCTGGCACCAGGAGGACGAGACGACGCGTCGGCGGCTGCGGACTGCGATGCGGTCCGCATTTTCGTCGTCGCTGTCGTCGCCGAACATACTGTGGAAGAGCAACCCGGTCGGCGGTGTATCGCGTTCCGACCCGGCAGGCTGGTTCTGGCCCAGCGGGGTATCCCGGAACACCAGCGGCATCGCCCGGGCGGCCTGAAGGGCCACCGTACCGCGGAGACTGACGTCGTTGGTCGTCGACTATCGCCTCGACGACCCGTCGAGGGTCGGCGCCGCGTGTCTGGTTGTAGTGTTGACCGCGGGAACCCCCCTACTCTGACCGGGTTTTGACCCCGGACGGAGATCGGACGCCGGGTGTAAGAGTGCAGGGGAGTCCTTTAGTGGGTGGGCCCTAAATTCCTTGGGCCCGCGGTCTGCTCTCAGCACCTGCAGATCGTTGAGTCTCACATACCCCGCGCGCCCCCTAGGCACGGGGACCTCGTAGGAGGTTCGGCCCTCGGCACGGAAAAAAAAAAATAAAAGTTACGAAATAATATACTAACACTTTAAGGGTGTTCATATAGAGTCCCTTCTTTATTTCGCCGTAAAGTCGTGTGTTATGTAATTAACATCACAGTTGGAACAATATAAATTTTATTGTTGTAGCGGCATAAATAATTCTAAGTAATTACATTATATTACTTATTTAACACATTATAAATTATTTTTACGTTTTAAATATTTGGCGGTAAAAAGGTCCCGTGGCACAGACTATATTCTTTTTCCCACATCTCGTGCGTTCCGGCTTACGCATCATAAAAATGTGCGTTCATGAACGCCACAACTTTTATAAATTAGAATTAATTACGCGAATGTTTTAGATTTATTTATTGAAATCACAGTTTTGTTATTTTGTTTTATCTCACGAACCGACAGACATTTTTTCACTTTTTTTAAAACACCTATTGTCACTGTTGTCTATGTACATGTTTTTTTTTTTGATAAATTGTTTCTATATCTATCAACTCCAACAGCCCAGAGTTTTGGTTGGCCGGAGAGGGTGATCGGGGAAAATATCACTAGCGTAACAAGTGATTTGATGTGAATGTATTACGTGTAAATTGAGCTATATGTGCTGTCTTATCTCTTCTTACCTCGTTTAATTTTATTTCACTCAATTTCATACCAAGCGGTTACTATTTCAGACTAATTAATTTATTTGGTTCAGTTGTGATATTTTTTTCTAGTAACAAAGTATTTTATAATATTATTGCGAATCTGGCAAAAAGATCAGAATCTAGGGCATTAAAAATTGAAAAAAGCTGTCACCTTTCGCAATGGAGTGTTGGACGTGTCCATAACAAATAAAAATATCCTTTTATTTTTATCGTAATGCTCTCAGTAATTTAACAGTATATCAAATTAACATTCGCTATTATGTTAAGTTCGTGTGACGTTTTGTTTTGCTTTAATTCGCAGCTGAAACATGGACGAGGTAGGGTTATTATTACTGTTTAACATTGTGTCAGATTGTGTGTAATATTTGTCTGTAATCGAATCTTACCAAACATGTATTGATTAAATCAATTATTTAATAACTTTTAGGAACTTAACGATCATGATTTGGAGGGCAGGTTGTATGCTATGCTGCATTATGCAGACGAAACACAGACCAAGAAAAACGAAAATAACCAAAATGCAGCTCAGATTATCGAAAATGCCCCGCGCAGCACTGTTCGTCGTTACTGGCGCACCAGTGCCGATTCCAACACTAAAATAATTCAGAAAGAGTCGCCACCTGCCAACAACAATACTGCAGCCAAAAAACCAGTACCAAAAGCTGAGAATCCCCCGCCTTCTGTTGACTTATCCTTTTTCCAATCTCCGCCCCAAAATTTAAAAAGAACCATTGAGGTAATCGAGCATGAAATTGAAAAACAGGTGATCCTGGAATCAAGCGATGAGGATGAGGTTGTGGAAGTGGCTCTACCACCAAAGCCGACTATAACCATTGAAAGCTCTGATGAAGATGAACTAGAAGTCATTCAATCCCCCTCACCCGCCAAGATCTTGACCAAACCTGTCACTGGAGAAAGATGTGTGTCAGCCAGTCCAGTACCTTCTGTAGTTTCTTCTGTGTCAGATGAGTTTATCCGTGGAGATTGCATAGCATTAAACATCTCCTCGAGACACGGAGATGATCATAGTTTTGATTTTAGCCTACACGGTCCAGACCTACTTGATCAGGCCACTCCATCGAAAAAGAAAAAAAAGAAAAAATCAAAGGATGCTGTAACTTCAATACCTACTGCTGCAGCACAAGAGAAATCAACTATTGATGAATGCTTTGCCACACCAAAGAGCAAAGCAAAAAACAAGAAAAAGAAATCAAACTCTGCAACCAATGCAGTCATTCAAAAAGCCGATGTTTACGATTCCGACAGCAATCATTCATTGATTGAATCAAACAAAAGCAAAACTTCGTATGTCGTCACTGAAAAAAGTTTACCTANACCTACTGCTGCAGCACAAGAGAAATCAACTATTGATGAATGCTTTGCCACACCAAAGAGCAAAGCAAAAAACAAGAAAAAGAAATCAAACTCTGCAACCAATGCAGTCATTCAAAAAGCCGATGTTTACGATTCCGACAGCAATCATTCATTGATTGAATCAAACAAAAGCAAAACTTCGTATGTCGTCACTGAAAAAAGTTTACCTAATGCTGATGTTTATGAATCGGATTCAAGCCACTCTGAGAATGTGAAAGAGAAACCTGCAAAGACAAACACTGATTTAGACAGTTCTGACAGCAGCACTTCTCTAGAGAAACCTTTAGAGGAAACTGAAAACATTGATGTGACTGAAATCAATCGCACGGAGGAAATCAGTGAGACCGTAGTCCAAATAGATGTCATTGATTTGACTATAAATGATAAAAATGTGCCAGTTGCAAATTCCATCTGTGAGAACATAGTTATGGCCAATGTCACGGGCTTTAGTGTCTCTGATGACTATGGAGATGTGCATATACCCAACAAGGACATATCCATGTATGTTTCAACCAAAGTACCGCCTATTCTGAATGAGGACCTAGATTTTGATAATTTGAAAGGTAAAGACAAAGTTTGCAGGAAGCGAAGGTACTCCTTGACCTCTTTACGAGCTGAAATGGAAAAATTCTACAATGAAAGCTGGGGCGGAGAGAACTTCAATCATCGTGAAATCCAAAAAAATATGTCTCGTGAGTACACAATCAGTTTCAATGTTAAATTCGGTTATAAAGAAGAATACAAATACAAATTTTCGAGTGTTTTCATAATATCCGTAACAATTTTTATTTGTAGAAGTTTTGAATGTAGAACAATGTTTTAGGTGACAAGAGCTTGTGGGCGATTGATCCAAAAGACAAGATGCCTTCAATGGCCAGAAGGAAAATGACGTAAGTATCTATCAAACATATTCTTTAAAGTTCACCATTTAATTAATTATTGTGATCAATATTCTATAAAGCGTTGTCAAAAACTTTGTAAAATGCCTAGTTTCCTGCCCATCAAGCTCAAATGCTTCAGTATTATTATTACACAGCAATCAAAAGCAAACTGGATGCAGGATTCTACCACTACACTAAATTGAATCAAGATTTATATACGACATAAAAATTATCAAGATAGAATTTAGTTCTATTGTCTCTATGAACTGATTTTTTATCAGCATTTGATATGAAAAATATTAAAATAGTGATGTCAAATATCTAATGAACATAAATTATCACCTGGTTATTTAATTTAATAAACCTGCTTAAAATGTCCCTTATGCGCAAACTTATAATGTTTCAGTTGTAACTATTGCAACCGGTCGGGGCACAAGGAAGACACGTGCCACATGAAGCCAGCCATTTGTCACATGTGCGGTTCTATGGGACACTTTGAACCTCGCTGCCCACGCAAGATCTGTGTTAATGTAAGTTTATTTCCAGGTTTTATAATACTTTTGATATATTTTCTAAGTGAAACGGCAGGGTATATTATGTGAATCACTTCTTCCACTCCATAGGGCAATTTGTATCCCTACTAATTTCATGTGTGTCTCAAAGAGGGACAGAATTCACCTCACAGTTTCATCTGTTAGATCAATAATGCAGTAATAAATTCACAATACTTTTAGGCAAATTATGTTATAAGTGCTTTATTATATTAACTAATTAAAATATAATTATCCTACAGTTTTAGTGATTAAGTAATTGCTTCATTTTATTAAATATATTTTATTATTCTTATTACTATATTATTATTCTGTTTGTACTGTGTGTTCAGATTCTAATTAGAATCTTAATTTGCTTAATTATTGTACTAAAGATAATTAGTAATAATAACCTATACATAATTTATGTCATAAAAATCGTCCATTTAATTGCTATTAACGAGCAGAGGTGCTCTCTGTCAACTGTTTGCTGTTGTTACCGGTATCAATTAATATGAGAATACCGCCATCAGACTTTAGACGTAGTTGTATAATATATAAATCTAACTGCATTACTGCTGCAATTGAAATAGGCTCTACCTAGTATCACATATTGGAGCCCACAATACACTTCCGCTAATGACTAGATAAACAAGAAATTTTTTAAACAATTATTATTAAACAGAAGCTACCTGTACTGTGACTGTAACAATACTAGAAACAACTACGATATTCGTTATTTATCATGATTTACACATTTCTCATAATACAGCCAGCACAGTCTGGAAAGTCAGTGTTTTTGAATAACCTAAAAATCATATTTTCGATTAAGAAATGAATATTTTGTTCACAGTGCGGCTCTCCGAATCACATATACTCGACCATGTGCCGTAACTGCAGTTCATGGAATAGCCTCAAATGTGCTGAGTGCGGCCAGTCTGGTCATCCGGCCAGCCACTGTCCTGACATGTGGCGTAGATACCACAACACTGTGAGTGAATGTTACTATTGTTTCTAATTATTAATATAATCTGTGGCATTTCATCATCTAAAACATAAAAGGGACTTTTTGGCGAGAACGCGAGGAGTGAAGTTGTGTGATTTGTTTTATTTTGTCTAATTAGTGTTTCTTTGGGTTTAAATGTGTAATAACGGTCGTTTATTATCTGTTTAATATCTATAAAAGTGCACAAATGTCGGAAAATGAAACAAAGCCGCTGGGCGTAACTTCTCGGGATCCTCCAAAAAGTCCACTGAAAAAATCTTAGTAAATGACCACCATTTTACTGAGATTATATTTCATCCCATATCATCTTATTTCATTTCATTTAATTTCATCCCAGTTGATTAATGTCTCAAATTAATCATCTTCATTTCATTTCACTCCATAATATCATTTTTCATAAAAATATGAATATAAATTAAAATAAGACATGAATTAAAGGTCTCCGTTACCAGGTCATAAAATAACTTAAAAAAAAACTTTTTGGCGGGAACACGAGGAGTGAAGTTGTGGGATTTGTTTAATTTGGTCTATTTAGTGTTTCTTCAGGTTTAAATGTGTAATAACGGTGGTTTATTATCTGTTTAATATCTGTGAAAGTGCACAAATGTGGGAAAATGAAACAAAGCCACTGGACGTAACTTCTCGAGATCCTCAAAAAAGTCCGCTAAAAAAATTTCAGTAAATGAACACCATATTACTGAGATTATATTTTATCTCATATCATCTCATCTCATTTCATTTAATTTCATCCCAGTTGATTAATGTCTCAAATTAATCGTCTTCATTTCATTTCCCTCCATATTATAATTTTTCATAAAAAATAAGACATGACTTAAAGGTCTTAGTTAACAGGTCATAAAATCAAATACTTAACAAAATTAAGTTAAATGCTCACAAAAAATCTTTTTGAACAGATCGATGAAGACGCGCCTTTAGAGAAGTCAACGCAGACAAAGAAACACTATCAGCTGTTCTGCAGCGGGTGCACGCGCCGTGGTCACCTCATCCACACGTGTCGAAACACCATACCCTTCTCCGGTCTCCCGATCAACTCACCATATGTGTGCATGTACAGAGCCATCTATCCGCCGACCCCGGGGAAACAAAACAATTTGAGGAACAAACAGATTCAAGACAAAAATACATCCCAAGATTCGACTGCGTCTTCAGAACGAACTCCAAGGAACGACAGGAAACGACAATCCAAATCGCCTACTGCTCACGAGAGTCACGTTAATAAGAAACGCAATTTATCTGCGTCTGATGACACAGAAATGCGACGTAACACGAAGAGTCCCATTGCCAATACTCCCCAAAGGAAGATCTCTCAAAGCATCGAAGATCCCAAAAATAAAAAAGAGCAAAACAAAACTAACAATACCGACTCCAATAAAACTCCGAGCGCTGAGAAAGCGCCTAACTTCATTCCGATCAGCTCGAACTACGACAAGAGGGGCCACATTATACAGGACAATGAAGTGTCAGACACCAGCGACGCTGTTACCTCCGCAAGGATCTATATCATTAACGAAATGATAGACCAACTCAAGACCAAGGAAGGCGAGGAGTGGTTGAAAGAGACAACAGAGAAACACAACGTAACCGTGCAATACACTGATATAAACTCATTTTTGAGTATAAAAGGAAAAGTAGCTGACCAAGAGGCTTTCCAATCTCAACTTAGAGATTGGACGAAAACTATTCTACCCGATGAAAGTTCATCTATCAAAACTAACGAGAATAATTTGACGACAGCGGATAATAGTTCGCCCTGTGACTTTAGTGTCATACCTAAAAATAGGACTAACCTACTGAAACAGCTGACGAAGGCTTTGAATTCATTAAAAAAAGACATTGGTGACCCGAAATATCTTTATAAGGAGTTAACTTACTTCCAAAGTCGGCACCAGCAGCTTTTGAAACGTAAAACCGTTAGTCCTAAGCAAGTGTCCAATAACCGATGTCATATTAATGAAATGCTGAAGAAACTGAACATGGTCCTTCTGGGTCAAGCTGGTCTTGCAGACGGATCGCAACACTTGAATGAGCTTTACGCTATCCAAGAAAAACTAACGAATTCGAGCCAAAAGATCATACCCATAGAGTTGCGCAAAGAAATCGGGCAACACTATTGCAGGATTTTCGCTGCTATGCCCAGAAATGATTATTTAGATTTATTGAAAAAGTTCTATCACTCTCCGTCGCAGTTCAAAAAGAAGAACAAGGATAAATTCAAATTTAGTCCGAACGTAAGCAGGCTTAAGAAAAACATGAACAGCATTCCAACAGCGCAGATACACCACAACGGGGAGAATTTGAAAGGCAAGAGGGACCGGAATAGGAGCCCGCTCAGGCAAAAACTTGTATTCTACCATCAGAGACTACTAAATACCAAAACTGAAAACACAGTACTGAAGAAGACGCGTATCGATTTGGTGCAAAGGCTACACGCGTACATTGCAAAAACGTACCAAAAAGATAAGATACCTTCAAAAATGGCGAAAAAAATGAAGAAGGCCCAAGATCAAGCGCAAGTGTTCTTGGAGAATGTGTAAAATAATGTTTAGGTGATAATAATATTGGCGCCAACGTGCAATGGGACGGGATGGCGCCATCCGCCGGCAGTATTTTATTGCAGTTGGTCCCAATCTCATTATGGGATCAATTTGACTTTTTTTTCTACTGGCCGGTCTGGTATTAAAGCACTTAATTGTGCGTGTGAAGTTAATAAACTTCTTTAGTGTTAAAGCATATATCTTGTTTTATTTCCTTAATTTAATAATCTACAAACTACTTCAACNTGCAATGGGACGGGATGGCGCCATCCGCCGGCAGTATTTTATTGCAGTTGGTCCCAATCTCATTATGGGATCAATTTGACTTTTTTTTCTACTGGCCGGTCTGGTATTAAAGCACTTAATTGTGCGTGTGAAGTTAATAAACTTCTTTAGTGTTAAAGCATATATCTTGTTTTATTTCCTTAATTTAATAATCTACAAATTACTTCAACAGTTCCATTGATGTGATTAACATCATATACGCACACTGAGTTTTACGCAAATTTACGCCTAATTAATCAATTTAGAAAGTAGTTTCAATGGATCCTAAATTTCACATTCCTTTAATCACTACCTTTGTTATTACTTTGAACGCCAGATGGGAAACAATTATTAGACCAGTGAGCTGCGGTGGACACCCTGTGACTTCGAATAAGTCGAGTCCAGTGCGCTTATTGCGAGTTTTTTAACGTTCTCGATAGCGTAAAAGCTAACTCTAATTTGAGTCAACTCGCACTAAGCACACCGGAAACCGCCACGAACAAGTGTGTCGGCCATTTGACATCTCGGAAAATAATGAGTAGGTACCTAATCACTGTTTCCCTAAGTCGCCCATTATTTTTTAAATACCTGTATTATTTACATTGGCGGACTTAATGCTTAAGGCATTCTCTACCAGTCAACCAAAAGTAGTGCAGAGGTGGATTGGATTGGAAGGTGCATTGAAATTTGTTAAACTCAAACATGTTTTAAACACAAATACAAAGGAATACAATAACAAACAAAAAAAAACTAAATTCCTGAGGATTTCGCTATTTAATTAACTATTTTAAAACTATGTTCAGCCAAAAATTTCCTTTATAAAGTAATTTTGAGAGTAACTTTTTCCCACAAACATTTCGTGATAATTTATCTGATATTCTCTCTAGTACGTTTACTTACACCTGTTTATCAAATCAAAGTGTGGCTATCTGCAGGATAACTTTCCCAACAGCATTCGCGGAACCCTTAACTTCGGTCAATAGTGGTCCTCCCGACAGGGATGATTAATGTTTCAATAAATTTCAAAGCATTAAACGTGATTTACAATATTCTGACCTGACCCTAAGTTCAATAGCTTTTTGACCGGAGCGCAAATAGTGATGGCATGTAAAGTTGTTTTAGGTATTTCATCCATATTATTTTTTCTGAACAAACATCTAAAACTGTTTAAATCTTAAGTTAAAAGTATTAAAATGATCCATTTTTTAAAAATTTGTATTCGTGAAAGTTGATACTTCAAGAAGCCTTTAGAGCTTTTCGAAAAGTTGTATTGAAGTTTTAATAAATTCCCACTTACTTAATCAAGTTTTTTTTCTTTTTTTTTTTCCTACCTAAGCTGGTAGCCTTGAGAGGCTATTCCAGCGTAACCTTAACTAGTAGGTGAGCTCACGGGGCTCAAACCTGACGACGTTGCTAACACGAACCCTAGCAAGAGCCGTGCTTCGCAGAATCTACCACCGGATCGGAAACGCGACCCACTGAGAAGATTCGGCGAGAAACTCAGTGGGCTGTGTCTGAGGGTTAATTTACTCGTCGAGCCCTACGTCGCAAGCGACGGGTTCGACGGGAACGGTGACCGGTGCTTGAGGTACCTAAAAGCACCGTTAGTGGATCGGGAGGATCCGAGATGACGTGTTTTGGGCGACGTTTGCTTTCCATTCTTTCCGCGGGATCGGGAATGTAGTTACCGGCGGCCACGATGAGAGGGTTCTCGTGTCGTGCCGCTTTATCGAAGTGGCGCATCGACGCCGACTGTAAATACTTACTGATGGACTCTAAGTCCAAGTCGTCATGGAGGTCGACGTTCCTGACGAACCACGGGGCTCCGACGGCTATCCTGCAAAAGCGGGATTGTATGACTTAAAATGATTTTAGGTGAGTGCGGGCCGCGTGAGCGAACACTACACTTGCATACTTCATGACGGGGCGTATGCAAGTTTTGTAGAGTGTCACCTTATTTCTAAGGGACATTTTACTTCGCCTGCATATAATCGGGTAGAATATTCAAGAAGAGGATTGTAATTATTACGTCTGTTGAGTTTGAGATGAACAACTAAGTTGGTTGAAAAGATCGAGTAGCTAATGGCCGCTAACATTTAAAAAAAAGCTGCTATCCATCAATCTTGCCTATGAACTTGTTGATTTAAAAAAAAAATACAAAACATACACGTATCTATAGGCTGTCTGTGAAACTAATATATCAACAAATAAAGACAAATTAATATTTACCTACCTATTTACTTAATTTTATTTAGTTAAATTTTACAATGAATAATTTATTATGCTTATTCAAAGTGATCGTTATGATACTGTGCTTAAGAGAATCAATTTACGTAAATGGAGTAAGTAGAATTTTATTTGATAAGTTAAAAAGTAAACATCAAGCTAGTTATTGAAATTATGTTTGAAGGTCTATAATATTAAATTGATGTATATAAGACAAAATTCATGTGATGTGGGCCCGTAACAGGTTGCGTGATATCTCCGCACAAACTTTTGTAAATTAAGAATCAAATTTCGACCGAAAACGACAAATAGGGATGCGGGAAAACCCCTCAAAAAAATATTTAAAGAGGTTCTCACCTTTAAAATTAATTTTCCTTCGTGTGATATTGTACTGTACTTAAAAATGAATCAAAAGATAATATCAATGTTTTTTTTTAGTATGGAGAGCGGGACTATTTTTCAGACCGAGAAGACAATAATCCTGCATATTATATATCACCTGCATTGCAAAAACTAGAGCATGGTTAGTCTATTATAAAATATAAATTATTTTAAATATTATTTTTTTAATTAAACCTGTCCTTAGTGTTGGCATAATTGACTACAAATTTCACTATTACCTTTTAATTATATTTTTAGTTAAATTGTTAGTGAGGTCCTATAACTGCTCCCAAGCTTGGCTGTGTCTTGTCTTGTAAACTATTACAAGAGTAGTTTCTTGTTTACTTTAATAAATAAAATGGGCAAAGGAGTGTCAAACTACACATTAATGGCTGTCTATAGTAGCAATGTTAAACTTCAAAGTTTAATTTTTTTCGCTTATAAATGAATATTGAGTAATGAAATCTAATCCATAACAAGGGTCACAATATCATGATTTGCTAAATGTAATAAGGAACTTTGGGACTTTTTTTTATTGCTTATAAATGAATATTGAGTAATGAAATCTAATCCATAATGAGGGTCACAATATCACGATTTGCTAAATGTAATAAGAAACTTTGGGACTTTTCCTCGTGTAGTAATTAAACAAAATCATTGTATCATCACATAAAACGTGTAAATCTGATTTGCAGCACCAGAATTTGTGAAAGACTGGCCGAATATATCAATAACACTAGGCCAAGTTTCCGGAGTAACATTAGACAATGCAGGCAGGGTGCTAGTCTTCCACCGAGGTGAACATACTTGGGATGAGCATACATTTACAAATGGGAATATATACTTGGGAATTGGAAAACCAGCCATACAGCACAAAACTATTTTAATCTTCAATGAAACAGGAGAACTTCTTGATATGTGGGGTGATGATTTGTGAGTAAGATTTCTTAATAATTAATTAGTCAGCTATTTCTATCATATGATTTTAAGAAATATGTAGCTGTTTTAAAATAAATTCAAGTAACAGGGTTCATATATCAAACTGTCAAGAGTATCAGTATTCTATTGAGAATTTATTTATTGAACAATAATTTCTGAGTACTTACAAATTACTGTTTCTCAGAAGTTTCTTTCACTCTTTTCACACTATTACTCAACCTCAATAACTAGCAAAAAGATTTTGAATTAACACTGATTAGGAATAAGAGGGGAAGCCCAATAAAGTGGTCTATAAGCTATGTAGTATCTATAGTTCTAGTAGGTCTCAATATAATATCTCTATATATAATATGTATATATCTGACATTGATTTGTTTGTCTGTCTGAAAGTTTGACCTCATGTCTCAATGTGGGTGGGTTTTTTTTTTTATTGCTTAGGTACGAGCTCACGGCCCAACTGGTGTTGAGTGATTAATTGAGCCCATAGATATCTACAATGTAAATGCTGCCACCTACCTTGAGATATGGTTTCAAGTTTTTATAATACAATGGCTGCCCCACCCTTAACGTATTACTGCTTCACATCAGAAATAGGCAGGGTGGCAGTACCTATCCGTGCAGACTCACAAGACGTCCTACGCCAGTCTTCACAAAAATTATAATTTTGCGGGTTTCATTTTTATTACATGATGTTATTCATGATGTTCACTGTGGAAGTCAATTGTGAACATTTGTTAAGTACGTATTTCATTAGAAAAATTGGTACTTGCCAGTGGGATTCACACACCGTCACATCACTTGATACGAATGCACTGGCTGTCTAATCCTTTAGGCCACGACGACTTCACATTTTGATGATTAACTCATGGACGAGAATAAGACTAAGACTTATTAACCTAATCTTTCCCCATCAAATAACCTTTTTATTTAAATAGTTATTTTTAATATCACTAATGAATGTTTCTTTAACAGTTTTTATATGCCCCATGGCATAACGGTGGACTCTGAAGGTAATGTTTGGACCACTGATGTGGCACTACATCAAGTGTTCAAATTTAATGCTACCAACCGACGAGTGCCTGCTATGGTGCTGGGAGAAAAGTAAGTATAACAATAAATATATATTGCCCTTGTAGGCATGGCATGGACCCACCGGGTGGTGAGGGGATACCGTCACTCATGAACATCAGCAATGCTCGGGGCACAGCCAAGCTGCTGTCCACCACCTAATTTACAGCTATCAATTTTAGATTACAAAAGCATTCAAGCAGGCCCTACTGTAAGCAATGGTTTGTTAATACCCTAATTATTACACAAATTTCATACCCGATCCTGTGGACCGATTGGTAAACACGTCATTACGGATCCTCCCGATTCATTAACGGTGCTTTTAGGTACCACAAGCACTGGTCACAATGAATTAACCCATAGACACAGCCCACTGAGTTTCTCGCCGGATCTTCTTAGGGGGTCGCGTTTCTAATCCGGTGGTTAATTCTGCAAAGCACTGCTCTTGTTAGGGCCAGTGTTAGCAACACTCCGGTTTAAGCCCCATGAGCTCACTTACACGTCAAGGAGAAGCTGAAATAGCCTCTCGAGGCTATCAGCATAAGTAGGGAATATACATATACAAACGTTAAAGATCTTTGGTAGTTGCTTTCTTGTGATATCTGGTATTTTCAATATTTATTACTTTTGCTTCTTAAAAGAAACAGAATGAACAGGGACCAAAAAAGTTGATTTTAATGTCCAGGCAGGCAATATCGCGTGTCCAAATATTGTTAATATCAATGAACAAAATATGAACAGTATTGTGAGGTATGATTTAAGTATGCTGACAATACACAGAAGTAAATTTGCTGATAAAAAATCACCTTGATCTATAATATATATAAATAATTATTTTAGTTTATAATACAAATACTATATCAGAAATGGTATGCGCTTATATTAAAATGTAGGTTTTCTATTATACCAATTGCGCTTAGTATATGCTCCCTGTGGGAGCATTGAAAAATTGTATTTAAATTCGGTAGGCAGCGGCTCGGCTCTGCTCCTGGCATTGCTGAAGTCCATGGGCGACGGTAGCCACTTACCATCAGATGGGTCGTACGCTCGTCTGCCTACAAAGGCAATAAAAAAAAACAAAAGTTTGTTGGAAATAAAATGTTCTTGAACAATAACTAAACCCCAACTCGTTACCCTCAATAGGTTCGTGCCGGGAACAGATGACCATCATTTTTGTAAGCCAAGCGCGGTGGCCGTGATGTCGACCGGTGACTTTTTCATAGCAGACGGCTACTGCAACCATAGGATCCTGAAATATAACCCTAAAGGGCAAATCATACTGCAGTGGGGTACTCGTAAGTATATCCATAAGTTAGGTGTATACTGGGCTTCTCCATCGACTTCCACAAATTGGATATGAGTAGTATTGTTACATATGGAGTGCTTACATTGGTTAAAGAGGTAATTGAGGATTTTAATTAAATAATATCTGGATTTTATCGGATCGATTATAAAAATTGTATAATGAATGGAAAATTTTGTATTATTCCTGAATAAAATTAGTATTTTATTTAGTTAAAATATTAGGTAAATAGTCCTGCGATATTAATCGATTGATATTGAATTACTTTTTTGATTTAAAAATATTAGTTTGATGACATGTACATAGGTTTATCTGAGACCAGAAAAAAAAGAAATTATTTTGTTTTTTTTTTATTCCCCTTGTAGGCAGACGAGCACACTACCCACATGATGGTGAGTGGTTACCGTCGCCCATGGACTTTAGCAATGCCAGGGGCAGAGCCAAGCCGCTGCCTACCGCTTAATACTCTCCACAAGCCACATATAATAATAATTTGTTGTAGATAACTCACACTCGCCGTTCTCTCTGAACGTGCCCCACGCGCTGGCGCTGGCCGAGAGCTCGGGGGTGGTGCTGGTGGCGGACCGGGAGAGGGGCAGGGTCGCCAGCTTCCGGCACGACAACGGCTCCTACGTCACCTCGTACAGCAGCTGGCTCATGGGACCCAGGATCTTCAGTGTGGCCTATTCTCCGGTTCACGGTGATATATTGTTGTGACATTTTAATTTAACTTACAATTGCAGCTGATTTAATTGCAGCCCCAGATGCGAATCACCTCACATACGTGTACATACATGCATGTGAGAGAATCTAAATAGTCACACATGCCCATCACTGACAGGCATGTGTGTGTGCAGTACCTTGCCTATCACTGATTCACTGGAGCATTAAGATCTGACTTTTATTTTTTTAATATTTGTCATTACAAACAAGACTTTTGCTTTGAACACAATAATTTTTCTGAGTGCTTACTACGTTGTAACCGGAGCCCACATGGAGTGTTACTGAACGCTTGCGGTCATCTAGAGACATAATATATAAAAAACTGTACACCACGTGTCTAACCTTTGATACAGGTGTATACAGACAATATGATAGATCATTAACTTAAATTTCTAGAATGACTTTTAAATCCATAAATCTGCCGGTAAACTAAGAAAAAAAATGTAGGCGCAGATTTTGTGGGTAGATCATTCTAAAAATTTAAGAATGAATATCAGGAGTTTTTGGCGGGAACGCGAGGAGTGAAGTTGTGTGATTTGTTTTATTTTGTCTATTTAGTGTTTCTTCAGGATTAAATGTGTAATAATGGTGATTTATTAACTGTTTAATATCTGTGAAAGTGTACAAATTTGGGAAAATGAAACAAAGCCGCTGGACGTAACTTCTCGGGATCCTCCAAAAAGTCCAGTGAAAAAATCTTAGTAAATGACCACCATTTTACTGAGATTATATTTCATCCCATATCATCTCATTTCATTTCATTTAATTTCATCTCAGATGATTAATGTCTCAAATTAATCATCTTCATTTCATTTCACTTCATATTATCATTTTTCATAAAAATAAGAATATAAATTAAAATATGACATGACTTAGTTACCAGTCTGTTACCAGTCAGACCAGTTACCAGGTCATAAAATCCCTTAAAAAAAAAGAATAAATATCACTTTTTGGCGGGAATGCGAGGAGTGAAGTTGTGTGATTCGTTTTATTTTGTCTATTTAGTGTTTCTTCAGGTTTAAATGTGTAATAACGGTGGTTATTAACTGTTTAGTATCTGTTAAAGTACACAAATGTGGGAAAATGAAATAAAACTACTGGACGTAATTTTTCGGGATCCTCCAAAATGTCCACTAAAAAGTCTCAGTAATTAACAACCATTTTACTGAGATTATATTTCATCCCATTATCTCATCTCATTTAATTTAATTTCATGCCATGTTTCATATTAATCAACTTCATTTCACTTCATATTATCATTTTTCATATAGTGCAGTTTTCATTAAAATTAAAATAAAACTTGACCTAAAAGTCTTAGTTACCAGGTCATAAAATCTCTTAAATAGAATGAATATCTATAAAATATAATATGACATTGTTTTTTTTTATTGCTTAGACGGATGGACGAGTTCACAGCCCACCTGGTGTTAAGTGGTTACTGGAGCCCATAGACATCTACAACGCAAATGCGCCACCCACCTTGAGATATAAGTTGTAAGGTCTCAAGTATACTTACAATGGCTGCCCCACCCTTCAAAACGAAACGCATTACTGCTTCACGGTAGAATTAAGCAGAGTGGTGGCACCCATCCGCACGGACTCACAAGAGGTCCTACCACCAGTAATTACGCAAATTATAATTTTGCGGGTTTGATTTTTATTACACGATGTTATTCCTTCACCGTGGAAGTCAATCGTGAACATTTGTTGAGTACGTATTTCATTAGAAAAATTGGTACCCGCCTGCGGGATTCGAACACCGGTGCATCGCTCAACACGAATGCACCGGACGTCTTATCTATTAAGCTACGACGACTTCGAAGCTGTTCGAATACTAGCTATAGCCCGTCCGCTTCGCTGGGCATTTAAAATTAACATTATTATTTTTCAGCCCCACAAAGATTCTCATCATAAACGCCCCCGCAACTGGTGTAGGGAGTCCAACACTCATATAAATATTAGCCTATCCATTAACTACATGTATTTTCTACATGGATACCAAGTTTCAAGTCAATCGGATGCACGGTTCAGTAGTTATAACGGAACATCCGTAAAAACCACTGTAGATTTATATATTAGTATAGATAGATGACATTGTCGTTGTTAATGAATGTTTAATATTATAATGTTGAACAGGAGGTCGTCTGTACGTGGTGAACGGGCCGAACGGCGTGGTCCCGGTGCGCGGCTACGTGCTGGAGCTGGCGTCCGGGCGGCTCGTGGGCACGTTCGACGCGCCCGCCGGCCTCGCCAGCCCGCACGACGTGGCGGCCGCGACCGACGGCTCCGCGGTCTACGTCGCGCAGCTCGCCCCGCACGCCGTCTACAAGTTCGTCGACGAGCGCCTGCGCCACGAGGCGCCGCCCGCACCCCCCGCGCCGCCCGCCGCGCCCCCCGCCGCGCCCCCCGCCACGCCCGCCACTCTCGGTGAGTAGGTTTGTATGCTTTGTGACGTTTTTATTTAAGCTGACCCGGCAGACTTCGTAGTGCCTCAATCGATAAATACTATTGAGTACTACTAAGACCTAAACTTTTGTATAAAATAAACTTAAAACTAACAAAAGGAATCCGTCCGACGGGGGACGCATCAAAGGAAAAACAAAATCGTTATTTTTATTTAATTCCGAGCATTTTCATATTTATCTACCTTTTAAATCTTCTCTGGACTTCCACAAATAATTCAAGACCAAGATTAGCCCAATCGGTCCAGCCGTTCTCGAGTTTTAGCGAGACTAACGAACAGCAATTCATTTTTTATATAGAGATAGATGTTGTCATGGCATCGTGAATTAGGGATACGGCATCATGTCTCGGGGTCAATGACGGCATCCGCGTTGATAAGTACGGTGGTGTGTGCAGCGGGCGCGGTGACGTCACGCGGCGGGCGCTGGGCGGGCGCGGCGGCGGGCGCGGGCGCGGCGCTGTGTGCGGGCGCGCTGCTGCTGCGGGGGGCGCTGCGTCGCGCGCGCGGTGAGCCCCGCCACTGACCCGCGCTATATATACACTTGTACAAATGACGAGATTTCAAACTGGAAAATGATCATCGAAATAATTAGATATACTACATCTGTGCCAACGTTACTCTAGCTTAGTAGAACACACTTTAAAGATCAATCCCAGAGATTACCTCCTAAATATAAACTAACTATATAAGACTATTTTTCTAAATATAAAGATCATAATAATACGGCGCATTAAATACAAAAGCGACCCAATTATTGATTGATATATACAGACCCACTAATTGGTGAAATTATATTCTCAATAAATATAATATTTTCATTTGAATGTAAAGAATCATGCAGTACATTACCCTGAGTCTGATGCTAACATCGCACAGCTAAAATATTTGAAACATTTTAGCCTTGTAGTTCTTTAAGATTTTCTGAATGTTTGCCTGTTCACTAACGAGTTACACGCGAGACAGTGCTACTGTATGTAGTCTCTACAATGACCTTCCCTTCATACAGATCAATTTACCCTATTTTTATTTGATCATTTATAGACAATGCAGTGTATAGTTAATTTGGGTAACTTTATTTTGTTGAATATATCAGGGTATTTTTTCTGGTTCTTCCCATTTTGATTTTAAACATTTTGCATTTAATTTATGAAATTATGGTAATTTTTATACATATTTAACTAAAAAATATTTAAACTGAAAAACATTTTAAAAAATTTTTAGTGATGTGAATTTCATTACATCAAGCACAACAAACATTATTTTCCATTATTTGATGTAAAGACAGACTAAAAATCTTATTTATATTATATTATAATGATATATTTAATATCAAAATTGGGACAAACACAGACTTCATTAACTTTGTTAAAACTCGAACTACCAATATTTAAATTATCAAAGTTATCCAAATTACTTATCTTATTCTTTTTTATTTGCATTTAATTTCTTGCTTGTTTGCTAAGATTTCGGTTGCTGATAAACATTCCTAGAATAAAATTATTGTGAATTCATGATTATATTATAAAAGAAATGTGATATAAAATGTGGTCCAAAATGCATTTGATAAAATAATTTTTATACGTCTCTTATAATACACCTGAAAATGTGTCGGATTGAATTATGTAAATTTTTATTTTTTCTAAAATTTATTTATTATTGTTTTAGCTAAGTTCTATTACAAATATTTACAATACATCGACGTTTTGGTTTTTGATCTCAAATTAACTATCGATCTGAGATTATTATTGTTTAACTTGTGTTGTGATTTATATTGAGATTTAAGTAAATGCTAAAGTTGTATAAGTTTCAGAGCCGTTGGTGATAAAAAATTTAAGGGCATAATATATACTGACTACTTAAAGATAATTTTACAGTATCAAATTTAGTAGTCGATCAGATTGAATTAATACAATTTTAATATTAGCATAAATAATAATTAGTTTCATATTTCAATTTGAGTTCGTATTGTGGTCGTCTTTAATCATAAGGTTTGCAGACGTAGTAATGAATTTACGAACCGACGAGAGAGCGCAGTAATATCTAGACTATAGTCGACGCATTATGAACTGAGGCCTTGGGTCATAAATCATATTTATCTGTCTGTCTCGCTCGCACTTACAGGTCTTATGGAGAGCTATAGTGACGTGCGTAAGAATTGTAGAGATTCATATCGATAATGAGATCGGTACTATCCATACGCTAAATTATGTTAAGTATTAACAAGAATAATTTTTCTCTATCTGAAAATGAAAGTTTTTAATTTGTAAGATAAAATGTTTTTTTCGACGTGATCATAGTGAATGGTCACGATGACGCATCGACCCCTCGTGCGCAAATAGCTAAGTATCGATAACGGGTCGCATCGCGTGCACATCCCTACTGTCAGTGACATTTATTGCCCGACGATTCAGTTTAAAATGCGTCGACTATAATAGGAGATGGACAGTGGCTGTCAAAGTTTCTTTTTAGTTGCATTAATATTTGACATGAATAATGTCTCCCGATAGTATAGTGAATGTTAAATGGTTCTCAAAGTTAGAGACGTAAAGTCGGACATCCAGTTTTGATTCAAACATTTCCAGTGTTTTTAATAAATGCATTATAATAGTCTAAGCGACCATTTTAGGGTGAGTATTGTTGAAATATTTTATCTAAGTTTATAATTGAATATGCAATTTCGAAAAGGGCACGTGTCGCATATTTTGTCAAATACGTTTTTTCATATACATGTAGTTTTGAGGTTTAACTACACCCATTTTATAATAATTCCAGTAATTTTCAATTGTTAATTAACACTAAAATATATCTCAAAAGTTAATATTTTAAATTTTACACTGCTTTAGAAAAAAATCAGCTTTTTTCATTTCCTGAACATTTTACATTTTCAGAGATGTGCCCTTTTCGAAATTGCATATTCAATTGAGACTCAAAGAAAAAAAAACCTACATATAAACACGATTTTAACTAAAACTAGATCCGACGTTATGGCTCTAACTTTCAGATTCATTTTGTTCGATCGTGATCGTGCTGTATATATTACCTAACGTTAACTCGAAATATATTTTATTTGAAGCAGCTTTTTGTGTTTTCATTTTTATTTTTGCACCTAAGCCTGTTTTCGCACCTTTTTTAGTTCAGTGTAAGTACCTTTTTTTTTATCGTGTAGATAATGCTCTATTTATTTATTTGATAAGCTTTACATCTCCAGCTGGTGTTGGCTATGGAAGCAAAACGCGACAAAGTTAGCGCCACCGCCCACTTAGAAGCGTGGTGGAAATTTGGATCACATTAAAAATAACTGAGAAACAAATAAGGTCTACCTTACTCTTCAAATCGCCACCGAAACGTGACAATGGGCAAGTGTCGTTAGCTTTGTCTACGAGCTCCTACAGCTGATGAAACCTCGGAGCGTTAGTTCATTTGACCATCGACGCTAATGGAAAAAAAAGGATCATCGAATGTAATAATTTGACAGGTCCCAAGGGGACGACCCGTCGTCGCTGGGAGTACGGGTCGGGAGAGTTCAAGTTGCGGCGTCTGCTCGAACGACGTCGCTTCACGAGGGTGCAATCGGACGATTCTGATGATGAACCGGCTCCGATGCTGCCGCCGCACCACGCTACCGCCTGACTCTGCCGTTGAAACACTAATGCACGAGTTCTCAGTCGACCAAGCTGGTGTTAGATACTCAGAACTTGGAGCGTTTTTTTTTTGTTGCTTAGATGGGTGGACGAGCTCACAGCCCACCTGGTGTTAAGTGGTTACTGGAGCCTATATACAATGTAAGTGCCGCCACCCACCTTGAGATATAAGTGCTAAAGTCTTAGTATAGTTACAACGGCTGCCACGCCCTTCAAACCGAAACGCGTTACTGCTTCACGGCAGAAGTAGGCAGGGCGGTGGTACCTACCCGTGCGGACTCACAAGAGGTCCTACCACCAGTAATACAGCTGTGAAAACTGAAGCTAGTCATTGAATCTTTTCACTTACTGAATCTTTGCATCACAAAATAATATAAAACCGGTGTTTAGATATAAGCTGGCTGTGCCCCTGGTGTCGCTAACGTTTATGAGCAATGATAACCATTTGCCGTATGCTCATTTGTCTATAAAAAAAAAAGAACGTATACAGGGTGTATTGGGAACGTTTTTCAAAACGTGGGTAGGTTAAAATGATTCTTGACAATAGCTCAAAAATTTACAATAAATAAAACTGATGTATTTTGTATGGCACACGATAAATCATTATCAAAATATAAATGGGTTGTCGCGCGATGTGCTCTCGAGAGTCGCGGGCCGACTTCCAGCCGACATCGCCTTCATAGCAGCGTGCTACGTTTGCCTCTAGGGGCGCTGTTCCAACTCCATACAAACTTGAGTTAACTTTTACGCGATCGAGGACGTTAAAAACTCGCCCGTCTTTTTTTCCTACCTATGCTGATAGCCTTGAGAGGCTATATCAGCTTCGACCTAACATGTAGGTGAGCTCACGGGGCTCAAACCAGAGTGGTGCTAACACTGACCCTAGTAAGAGCAGTGCTTCGCGGAATCTACCACCGGATCGGAAACGCGACCCACTGAGAAGATTCGGCGAGAAACTCAGTGGGCTGTGTCTGTGGGTTAAAACTCGCATTAAGCACACTGGTCACTGAATGCTGTAATAACAATCACCATCCTGTATTCATTTATGTTAAGTTTTTTTAGATTCGGCAACAGCATCTACAGTTGTCTCTTCTCGATTTTTCCCTACCTCTTCGTTGGTACTCTGAGTGCTATTCCAACTAGGCACGGAGAGGTAGGTGAGCTCACAGGTTCAACCTGAGAGAATTTGTTAACACTAGCCCTAGCAAGAGCAGGGCTTCGTAGAATCTAAGGCTTGTTGATTGGGAGCAATTGTTGTGTCGCCTTTTCTAAACTTTGCAACGCGAAACTGGTTCACAAGTACTCATGTCTTAGATATCGGTAATATATCAGTAATATGTCCAGTACTAATGCCTATTCGGTGAGCACTAGACTAAATTTGAAACGTCTGTATAAAATTTGCCTAATACCACGATCTGATTCTGCCTATTGAAAATAATTTAATCAGATTAATGTCATATTCGTTGACGGTATCTTTTTCTATTCTTACTTCTTTTAAACAAGCCTTATGTAAACTAACATAACTTTTTAGCATTTAATAATTGAAAAAAAAGCGACGAATAGCTACGTAAAGATTTGGCGACCATGATACGGAAATCTATTTAAGAATCATAGTTCAGTGGTTCCTGATTCAGCTTACAGATGCACACAGAAAAAATAGAATATCGAAAGAAAGACTAGTTTAGAAAATGTCTAAATATTAGAATTATTAAAGTAAGTAAGCCTAATTAAGTATCAGATATAAAATAGGTTTTAGTGTAGTGGATATTCGAAAAAAGATATTTTAATTAAGAAGCGTACCAACTATATTGTATATCTATTTGTTTAATATTACGTAACAATTACAACTGCTGTTCTCGTAGTATACAAGACCTTTTTACCAATTCTGCAAATATATCCAGAGCGTGCGTTCCCGAAGATACTAAATAAAAAAAAAAGGTACAATATTCACTTGTAGGATTTTTTTATTTCTATTGTGATCATACAGTCCACTCCTATAGTAAATAGCTAACGTCGCTCATGGGCATCAGCAATGCTAGGGGCACAGCCAAGTCACCTACCGTTATAAGCTCTTAAGCGTATGATGTTCCTATTTCGTGAACCATGGGAGGGGGCGGCCCCGTAGAGACCGTACCGACTGAAATTTACGAGCGTCAACTGTTGCGGAATGGTATTTTATCGCATGCGATACAAAATACGTCACCACACAGTTCGAATATGGCTTTTCATGTTACGGTGTTAGCAATCTCCAATGCACCCTGTGTACTTAAACAAAATTGACACTAGACCACGCACTGCACAACAAAGAACTACTAAGTTAGATGAGCTACAATTGGAATCTGTACGATATCCACCGTACTCTCCGGACCTTGCTCCAAGAGATTATCATTTTTTTGGAAATTTGGACACATTTAAAAGAAAAAAATTCACCTCCGATACGGCAGTCCCAACCCCCTTCAGAGATTATTCGCGTCCCCATGGGTTTTTAGTAAAGGGATCAATGAACTAATGAACCTAAGAGATGGCAAAAGTGCATAGATACCAAAAGTGCATACTTTGATTAATTAAATATATTTTACAAAAGAAATATACTTTATATTCCTCCCGTACAAAAAGCCAATTTCATATGTAATATGTAAAATAATATGTATATCCCACCCTGGTACCGTTACAATGAGAAACATTAATTTGTAACAAGAAAATAAAAAATTACCATTATTATTAACTTTATTTCATAAAAAGTACAATAATATCTAGAAAATAATGAAATATTTAATAACATTAATAGATAGATAGATATTGAAAGACATCACATGTTAAAAAATATGTTTTTTTTTAAATAAAAATCTATTTTAATTTATATTCGGCCTAACTAATATTCGGCGACCCGAACTGTTGACTCCATTCTAATTAGGTTTTGTTGCAATTATCACGTGATTCCTTGGAGACAACTTCGGGTCGAAAATCGGACGGATCTCACAGGACAAACCTGAAATAAATAAAAAACACTTCTAAATATAGGTCTCTTAATTAAGTTAAATTATGTATATTTTTAATACTAAGTACATTTTATAAGTTTCTCTAGTCACTCATTAAAAGTTAAAGGACAAATGTATTTAAGACATTCAAAGGAGAAATAAAGGGAAATATAAAATTTCTCATACGGTCTCTCGATTTAATTTAAGTGTCGCAAGTCAGTTTAAATCAGAATTAAAAAAAAAAAACATTCCAGTACATAGATTTAATTAAATTATTAACATTTCTAGTCACTTAAGTATAATTTTTTAGTTAATTAAAAATATATGTGATTGTTGAAAAAAAAGCGATCTTAAGAGAGATATTTGGAGAGTTTGTGACAGTGGAGTGTTTATAAAATAATTTAAACTAGTGATTTTTTTTTTCGGTTGAGCTGCGAGACATTCATCTCGATTTGTGACTATGAGCAATGTCACTTCACGACAGATTAACTTTGAAACTGGTTCAGCGCAAATACGAATTTAGTTCATAAATACTCCTTGCGGTAGGTATATATTTGATAAGCAGCGAGACCATCGACAATGCGTATGTGGAAATCCTAGTTCTGCCCCATCATCATCATTATCCTGTCCTTCTCCCAGTCACCTGGGGTCGGCGCAACATGTTTTCTCCTTCCATACTCTTCTATCATATACCATTTCTTCGCTCACTCCTCTCTTACCCATATCGTCTTTCACACAATCCATCCATTTCTTCTTAGGTCTACCTCTTCCTCTATATCCTTCCACAGTCATAGTTAACACTCTCTTACCAACCTCATTTTCATTCCGTCTCATCACATGTCCATACCATCCCAAACGCGCACTCCTCAGCTTCTCTGTCACAGGTGCCTCTTTCAGACTTCACTTTCTGCCCCATTATAATTATTAATAAAGAAACTTTAATCTATTGGCTGGGATCAGGAACAAGACTTCTATTGCGTGTTTTGTGTTCGGGAATGTTTCCCTCACGCGCAGTACACATTATTATTTTATACTATTTCTCAGTCACGCAATGTGCGTGTCAGTCGGTGACAGAAACGAATGGTACATATTATATTAAAAGCGTCATCGGTGACAGAAACGAATGGTACATATTATATTAAAAGCGTCATCGGTGACAGAAACGAACGCATACTGTACATATTATAACCGACATTTTTGCAACTTTACCAGAGAGCTATTTAAAGTTTAAAATTTAGAAAATATATCATAACAAAAATAAAACTTGTTCAGTTATTTGAATGAATTAAACTTAATCGAAATTCAATAAAAAACATCTAACTGTTGATGTTAATACCAAATAAAAGTCATCTTTAATTACAAAGACAAATGTCGCTTAAACCAAATCGCCTTTCACAAGTCTTTTTTTTTTTCCTACCTAATCTGATAGCCTTGAGAGGCTATATCAGCGTAACCTTAACTAGTAGGTGAGCTCACGGGGCTCAAACCTGACGATCACCCATCGATATGTACTTAAATTAACTACATCTGCTCAAAGGAAGAATAGGTAGATGAAAGATAATTCAAAACTCCTAAATTGTCCGGAATCAAATAATTTGAATATGCTTTCGTGTCGTTAGTGTTCATGTTGTCAATGTCTATATGGATACAACTTAGACTATATATCAATATGTTATTTACATGTGTATTTGTATGATAATAAAGGCATATTGAATTTTATATATGGTATTATTTTAGAGCATTTCGCAAACGGTCGGAATTGTGACGGATTATTCGTCCGGTTCTAACAAATCATTAGCATCACAGATAAATAATCTTGCCACATACCCCATTCGACTGACCTCGTGCCTCAGACAGCGGTTGCATTGACGTGATGTCCATGGACTCCGACAACCACTTAACAGCAGCAAATGACTAGTTGTGACCCAACCCAGCACAGGGATAATCAAAAATTTTTTAATTTGTAAATTGATACTAAACATTTTTAGAAACACGAAAAATCACGATGTTAAACAAAAATTATTCTATTTCATGAATAAACTGTTTTTGACCATCACCAAACCAAATACAAAACCATCTGGTGTTAAGTGGTTACTGGAGCCCATGGACATCTACAATGTAAATGCGCCACCCACCTTGAGATATAAGTTCTAAGGTCTCAAGTATAATTACAACGACTGCCCCACCCTTCAAACCGAAACGCATTACTGAGTTTATGCGAAATAGGCAGGGTGGTGGTACCTACCCGCACGGACTCACAAGGGGTCTTACCACCAATACTATGTAAAGATCTACGAAATTCCGAGCTAAATTATGCGATCCCATTAGAACCTTGTTAGGAGTAGCTGACAAGAGGTATCATGACATCACCCACGTCAAACGACTGCATTGAAAGTACTTTACAATTACATTAATTACCGTGTTCCAAGACAAAGAGCAGTCTGTCCAACAAAAGCACGGTCTCGACCAGCGGCGCCAGCGCCAGCCGCAGCGTGTACACCACCACCACGCGCCGCCACTCGCGCACCTTCTCTGCGCCCGCCGACACGCCGCACGCCGACACGTCCCGCGCCGACACGTCCCGCGCCGACACGTCCCGCGCCGACACGCCCTGCACCGACACGTCCCGCGCCGACACCTCGCCCGCCGACACGTCCCGCGCCGACACGTCCGGCAGCGGCCAACGCAAGCACAGCTTCTCAACCGCCAACGAACAGTATCTATTTATAAATTAGTTATTTGAAAAAAATAGCTAAAACTAATATTTCAGAGGTTTAAGTAAAAATATTGGTAATTAAGTTCTTTTATATGTTTAGGTTCAGCTGTGAACTAAATCACTGATCCAATGCAGTCATGACTACGGAGCATTCGTACAGAGTATGAGGGGTTCAATAATTCAGATCAATTGTTATCATCATGTACAAAACTTTAATAGTTCCTATAATAATTAACCTAGACCTGTTCTTGCTGTATAACAATCAATGCCAGTTTTAAATGTAGGACAGCCATTTTTGCAAAGAGAATAACAGTGAGCGAAAGCATTCAACGTTGGGTCTATGGGTGCTATGTCTATAAACAGTGTGACATGTGTGTGTTATAAGACTAACCTGACCTGGACTGATTAATGGCTAATTTATTTCAATAGCACACATAACACATATTCTTACTTTTCAAAACTCAAATCTTGGGTGTGTTTCAAACTCCTAACTGGAGCGTGTTTCAATTTGGGATTATGTTCAACTAATATCTTCTCCAGAGCTGCTCTGTATGCGTGAACCTGTTATTGAGACATTACGTATATTATCACTATGCTCCTATATGACCATTCATTTCATTACACATTTTTAATATAGTATGTTGATATTAATACTCCCAAAGATTAGCGAGACAGTAAACACTAAAAACAAATCGATGCCTCCAATGAACACTACGCTAACTCCAATTTCGTAGATTTACAGGAGGAGCGTTTAAACGAAAAAAGTTGATAAAATCTTTATTATTGCAGATATATTTATGGTTTTTTTGTGTAACTAGCTGATTTACTCTTGCTCCGAACCCCATCAATAATGATTAATTGTAATACTTTTAACATAGTGAAGCGATTTGCGTGAAAAACGAAAATTTTAAAAATTTTGAGTTAGGGTAGTGTTCATTGGAGGCATCGAAATGATACATTATAAAATTATGCAATATTTGAAAGATTAATAGCGGTAAAGTGAATGAAAGAGTGAATCATTCTCTCACTTTTGCTCTTAAATTGTGGTGATCAAATGAAATGCAAACAGCAGCTTAAAATGTGTATCTTACTTGTGTATTGTTATGTAAGGTATTCCTTACCATGTAGCTGAATAAAAACAAATCAACAACAATCAAGACATTGCTTACCTTTAAATCTTCATAAAGTCCTTGCCTCAATCTCTCAGAGTACATTTCGATAGCGTGACAAGCAATCTCTCTGCTCACAAAAGACAGATCACCTTTTAATTCTTTAACATAGTTGCTTATTGGATATCCTTCTGCTGTTAACTTTGTATAACAACAGCCTACAACACATATGAATTTCACCTGATCGGAACATATGAAGTGTTTTAAGAGTAAAAGGCCTAAATCTCCACATGGATGGAGCCCAATCAATCCATAGTTTGTCATATGAGTCGGTAAAGGCAGATGTTGAAGTTGCTCATGACTGGATAATGAGATGTTATAATGTATGGGCCGATGTAGATTAGGTGTAAACTCTTCTTTAGTGTATTTTCTTGCAGTGTATTCAAATTCAAGATCTAGTTTTCTGAAATACAATGGATTCTGAGTATTATATAATGTTTTAAATTAGCAATTAGTGCTTCAGTTTAATAGTGGTTTATTAATAGTTTGATAGGGTTTTCATTCAACAAGCTGCCTGAATTAACAGGGAAAAATTGGAAGAGCCAATTAGGTTGTTACATTTTTGGCCATTTACTGTTTTAATTATCACAGAATATTGTTTCCATTACTTCATTAATAAATTAACTGAAAAATCTTTTGTAATATTTATTGGTTAATTTATATACATACCAACAGTACAGACCTAGCCTCCTCCGTCAGTTGCTTTTGACACTCAATGCCTGCAGTATACAACTTGTTCTTATATGCCAACATCCTCACTAAATGACCGAGACCTGAACCAAAGTCTATAACTGCATTACATCTTGATTTCAATGCAACATCAGTAACTATTTCAGCCATTACACTGACTTCATGCCGCTTCTTCAATTTAACATGTTTCAAGAATAGATTTTTTATTTTGCTATAAGTACCGCATTGGTCTGCGATTTGTGTAACATCTTTTTTTATAGTTTTGCTGTTTTTTCGTGGTAGGCCCAATGCCTTTACAGTGGCGATTAAAGCTAGCAATGACAATGGAAAGATATGATTGGTTGGTTTTTCTGATAATATATTTCCCAATTGTTCCAAGGCAATTTCATCAAGATTCTTTTGCCAAGATTTCGGAAGCCTATACCAGTGATTGTCTACAAAGAAATCCTGAAATTGGNTCAACAAAAAAAAAAAAAAAAAAAAAAAAAAAAAAAAAAAAAAAAAAAAAAAAAAAAAAAAAAAATTTAATTATTATTCTGATAGATTTTTATTTTAATCATCACAATTTTAAAGTTATATAAATTGGTATATTTTATATCAAAGACTGATGACCTTATTGGACACATCATTTGCAGTTGTTATTGTTGCTCTTGGAATGGGCTCATTGACAATGTCAAGGGCACAGTTCAGTGCATGTGATCTGACCTCACACCAAGTCTAGAGTAATTCAGAAATAACATAAATCTATCAGTTATTGATTAAAACATTACAAAGATACAAAAAATAATACAAATAACATTACACCAATCTAAGAAAATAGACATGAGTGATGTCCATAACGTCAGACGTTAAATCTCATAGACATTACATTAAGAATGCTGACAACTACGCTAAACTGGAAGTCCAGGTTTCTTTTTTACAGTAAAAGAGCTCTTTCAAAACGGATGTTATTGCTTCTTTGCATTAGAATTAGGCGCGGTGATAATATAGTAGGTACGTACGCGTTTTCCAATATGCTCTATTGCAAGTAATCAAAGTATTTCGTGAATACCAGGCCTTAGGACCGAATTTTTTAAGATATTTAGAACTTAGAAGATTTGGACTATATTTTTTGTCTTAAAAAAGTGCCGAAGAGTTTCATGCTTTAAGGGAAGCCGTTATAGAAGTGATGCACTTACCAATACATATAAATCCAGCAACCAATCGTACATACGTATAACTTTTAGAGACATATCGATACAGGTTTTTACGTCATTTATCTGAGACTTCATTTTGTTGAATGTTAAGGAAATCCTTTGTAAGTTTAGGGATTGTCAATTAAAGTGTTGGCACTTCAAAAATAATCTAAAGAAGTTTATTGTTATTTTCAAGACAATTCTGCATTATTATTTTAGTAAGATACGTTATTTTTTTAAAGGAATTTTATGACCTGGTAACTAAGAACTTTAAGTCATGTCTTATTTTAATTTGTATTCTTATTTTTATGGAAAATGATAAAATAGAGTGAAATTAAATGAAATGAGATGATATGGGATGAAATATAATCTCAGTAAAATGGTGGTCATTTACTGAGATTTTTTCAGTGGATTTTTTGGTGGTGCCCGAGAAGTTATGTCCAACGGCATTGTTTAATTTTCCTACATTTGTGCACTTTGACAGATATCAAACACTTATTAAACCACCGTTATTGCACATTTAAGTAAGCTTGAAGAAACATTAAATTTAAAAAATTAAACAATTCACACAACTTTGCTTTTCGCATTCCTCCCAAAACGTTTCTTAAAATAAAATAATAATAACAATAAGTTTTTTATTTCTGGTAATATACCTAATTTTAGGTGGATTATAATATTACAGTACAAAAATTCACATAGATGTTTAATCAAATATATTTTTAATTTTTTGTATGAAAAGTGAAACAAACTAGTATCCCTAACCCTTTTTAATTATGTACACACCGATTCTATACCTATTCCTGAAATTGTGTCTGGTTTCTCTTAAGGCTTATCGGTCTATTGGCTCTTAAAAGAATAATTTTAAACTACATATTTTAAACATAATAAATTATTACAATTTACGGTACAATACAACAATTTACAATAAAACTATTTTACAATAAGCTAATTCTGTGATAGTGCTAAAATGACGTAAATTCAGAAATACTCAGTATTTCCGCATTTATCACAACTGTAAATGTAAATGACTGTAGTAACTGTAAATGCGGAAATTTTCTTTTTATTTTAATTGCCGCATAGGCATACGAGCATATAGCCCTCCTGATGGTGAGTGGTTACCGTTGAACGTCAGCAATGCCAGGCAAAATGAAGACGAAATGCTGTTAGTACTGTGGGGCGCACGTCTTCCCGAGACGACGTCCTGCGGGATCTTCCCGGGGATGGAATCCCGTCCTATTGCCAGGACTTGTACCGGCGACGGTGAACCTTCGGCGCTCAAATCACTGCATGGATGCAATCTGGTCCACTCGCCTTATGGATGCTCAGGGCTCAGAGCTCTCGCCTAACTTCACACTGTTTGTAGCAGATCTCCGACAGAGAACTATCATACCGAGGGATGTTCGGTGGTATGGCACCCCTGATATCCATGGTCCAGTTCGAGATGACTAGAAGGTCAGCCTTCTCTTTCGCACTATGGGCCAGAGGGCCAGCCTTCTCTTTCGCTTTTATCAATATAATTTTCACGTACCCTCTAGTGGACCCCGCCTAAGCACAGGGATACGTGTACCACATAAGAGGCCGTCAGCGCAAAAGTGGCCTAACACATAATTTTTCAGTATCATGCTTATAATTATTATGTATATTGCAATTTATTTAAAATATAATAAATATTGGTGCAAAATCGGCCTATCCATAGTTTCACCCATAGATAGCAGATGGCTTTGTAAACATTATTTTTGCCCGTGTTGTTTTTTGCCTACTCAAATTCAAATTCATGAAAACTTAAATTTCATTGCTCCATAATAACTATGGTAAATTTAGGCCACTTTTGCGCTGACAGCCTCATATTGGGAATCGCTTCAATGATGCACAGCTGACGTTTGAGTCGAGAAACATTGTATGTGGCAGTATTCATAACGTGAATACCTACTACTACTCTAGACTTCGAAATATTCAAGTCTCATCTTTAAAATCAGATCGTTCGAAATATCTAACAGTCTCATCTTTAAAATCAGATCGTTCGAAATATCCAACAGTCTCATTCTCATCAGTTCATATGATTGCTTAACAATAGAATTAGAAATCTTGCTTTTTTTCCCGATCCCGATCCTGCGGACAGAACAGAAAGCAGTCGACGTCGCCCCAAACACGTCATCTCGGATCTTCCCGATCCACTAACGGTGCTTCTAGGTACCTCAAGCACCGGTCATTGTCCTAGTCGAACCTAGGGGCTCGACGAGTAAATTAATCCTCAGACACAGCTCACTGAGTTTCTCGTCGGATCTTCTCAGTGGGTCGCGTTTCCGATCCAGTGGTAGATTCTGCGAAACACGACTCTTGCTAGGGTTCATGTTAGCAACGTTATCAGGTTTGAGCCCCGTGAGCTCACCTACTAGTTGTGGCTACGCTGATATAGCCTCTCAAGGCTCTCAGCTTAGGTAAGGAAAAAACCTGTTATAATGAATACACATGGCGTTTTACTGATTAAGCCATGACAACTTGACTTAGACTGGTTACATTTTTAACACCAGATGACTTATTGTGGAGAAAATTAAGGATTAAAAAAAAAACGAGGTAAGCATTGGTGTAAAGTTTTATTTATTAGTAATAATGCATCTAATTAATTTTTTCATTATAGAAAATTCAGATTCTGATAGTATGGCTAAAATAAAACAGTTTCAGAAATGTCATGCACAATATGTTTCAACAAATTATCAGATATCAACACAGAACGTTAACTTCACCGAATAATACATGGGCCACAAATGTAATTAATATAAGTCATTTAAACTAATTTAAACCCAGGGAATATGTGCCACGCACAGCTAATCCATTGATAGTTCAGATGAAATCATTATCTATGATGAAACTTACTGTTCTAATTTAAAGTATACAACAATAAAAATAAAAATAAAAATTATATAACAATTACTTAGTTTAATTACTGTCTACTATGACCTACTTTGGACATTATGTAATGGAATATTCTCACAGGTCAGCATCAAACAGCGATCAATCAGCACAATAGGTACTAAAATTAATATTCGTTAAAGTTCCTTTTATGTTCTATAATCTCATTTTCGCTTCAGCTGATTACTGAAAAATCTGATAACGACTTCAAAAGCGCATATCTAATAACTATTGACATAAATAAAGCCATCTTAACCTTACTTAACACTTACTTAATGTTCGCACATTGCTAGAGTGCTGGTGCAACGAAAAATGGAGTGTGTTTTTTTCGACCTTTACAAGAAAAAATATCTATAACAAAACACAAATATTAATAAGAGTCGTAGAACAATAAAAATCACTGATCAAGTAAAAAAAACAGTGAGAATAATTATAAACGCTTTAACAAAAACCGACTTCAAATAGAAAAAAATAATTCCAAAGCAATTATTTTTTTTACGTACGGAAGTGTACTAAAAACAATAGTCATCGAAATCGAGTCATCCAGTCAAGAGGTAACAAACATAAAAAAAACACACGTCAAAATGAGAACCTGCTCCTTTTTTGAAGTCGGTTAAAAACAATAAAAACTATACAAAATAAAAAAATCAGATAAATTAATCAGATTAATTATACGCCAGTACTAAGCCAGTTGTTTAAAAAACTTATTGCTAGACGATTACACAATTTAGAGTCCACAATTAGGCCAGGTTCACTAAAACGTGTATAAAATTATTCATTCAGTATAATATGGTAAACATAAACGTTGGGATTTATTGGGCACCAATAACAATTAATTATGTTTTTTTTTTATAATGTATCATTTATTTTTAGCTTGTAATGTGTATTGTGTGCCTAATAAAATAAAATAAAATTTGGGTTATGAAACCGAAAGAATAATTTCCAGTTTTCAATTTCCATTAAAGTCGACCAGTAAATTAAACACGCCATCTGCTAAATTTGTCAACCGGCGAACCAGCAGCAGTCCCAAATGAACGTTTAGGTTTCTAGATGTCGATGTACCGCGTGGGGTATACAGTAGGCGTAAAGATTGTCTTGAGATGAGCGAATCTCACTAAGAGAGCATGAAAATAACAGGGAAATTGATACAAGTAATTGCTTATGTAAAAAAAAAAAAACATACTTAAAAATTAAACAATCTCAATCATTCTTAATACTACTTAATCAATAATTGTCACAATTCTTAATGAAATATAGATTTTGAGCAAATAAAAAATATATCAATGAAAAGTTTTGATAAGACTAGCAATAATCTTTGCAAATTATTTTCATAAACATTTCAGTTCATTTTATTAAAGCTATTGATTTAACAAACAAAAAAAGAATTTGCCACAATCATACCTAACAAGCTTCGATCTCGAAGCTAACAAGACTAATAAACTATCAGATCAGATCAGATCATTCAGATGTTTGCGTGTGATTTTACACCTAAAATCTTAAGATTCTACATTCAATAACCTAAAGCTAGAATTTTTGCAACATGAGTGTCGGGCACATTGACGAGTTACGTGTGTATTTATCAACTAGATCAAAGTGGTGCGATTGAATTTATTTAGCTTGCTCACATAAAGGTCAAGTTAATAATGTAAAAAGTGGGAACGATGGCGTCGCCTTAAAAAAAACGCGACCTTTACTAGTGCAAATAAGGCGTACGAGGAATTATGATCTTTTTGAACTTGATGAACTTAGAAATGTAAATTAAAATGTTTTCTTAAAAATAGATGACGACGTTGAAATTTACATTTAATGTTTTTGAATCAGTTTATGTACATAATATGTGATCTAGAAAATGTTTCAATACTGCGTGACTGGTCCCATTAAGACTGAAAACAGTGCTCGACCGATGGTACGCCATGGCCGTCGGTTGCGGAAATGCATTCAGTGTTACGCTGACGGCGAACTGCGATGCGTGTGTACGGTTCACAAGAAAAATGAATCCTTTATGGAATGAATTAATTCTTTACAAACTTCTTGCCAAGCACTTATTTTAGCATCACGGTCTTTATAAAATACAGACGATAAATCCCATAATTCCGGACGAAGATGCACTTCAGTAATAAGGCGCTCTGTATCGATATTCATTTTTGCTTTAATGAACACATCCATACAATCTCATCTCATAGCTCGTCGGTCGACTGACGGCTCGACCGACCGTAGGCGCGAACCAAATCACGCCCGTACCGTCAGCGTAGCTGTGTGCGCATTCATAGACTTGCATAGATATC